ATAGTGACCCTATAGGAGAGAGTAGAATTGGGTTTCCAAGGAGTAGCTGGTGGATTTGAACTGCTGACTTTTTGGTTAGCAGCCGAGCTCTTAACCACTGCACCACCAGGGCTCCACAGTGCTCCAGATTGCCCTAAAATACTGCTTGAGGTTAGCCTGGAGGGAGGCTTTATACCTCATCCTTTACAGTAAGGAATTATCACACACTCTAAGTGTGTGTCCCTAACCCTCTCCAGAAAGGAGAAGAGCCATCAGGGTATTATTTTGTGGTCACTGACTCTGAGATGAGACAAGAAGTGCATTTGTGAATTGAAAATAGCACATTCTTAAAATCAAACCAGTCATTCACATTTTTAGTTTTTTTTTTAATAAATTTTATTGTGTTTCTGGTTAAGGTTTATATAGGAGTTGAGGTTCCCATTCAATGATTTCTACACAAGTTGTTCAGTGACATTGGTTACATTCTTTACAATGCATGAACATTCTCGTTATTTCTGTTCTGGTTGTTCCGTTTCCATTAATCTAGTTTCCTTGCCCCCTTATCTTTTTATCTTTGTTTTAAAGTAGTTGTTGACCGTTTGGTCTCATTAGGTGATTTTTTAAAGGAGCACTGTACTTACAGGTGATATTCATTATTTTGTGAGCCAGTTTGTTATTTAGCTACAAGGTGACCTCAGGGGTTAGTCTCGGTTCAAGGTTTGAAGAGTATCTCAGGGCGATAGTTATGGGGAGTCCTCTGGTCTCAACCAGTCCAGTAGGTCTGTTGTCATTGTGGTTGTTGTTTTAGGAATTGGAGGTTCTGTTCCACATTTTTCTCCTGTTCTGTCAAGAGTCCATCTGTTGTGGCCGTGATACCATTTGATTGCGTGGTAATTTTTGTAAAACCTTCAAGAGTCAAGTTCATTTTCGTTTGCGTTGGAGTCAGTTTTGCAAGTAAACTCCGCAGGGTAAAAATGTGCGTTCTGTGCCTCATACTGTAACGCATCTCCTGCTTCCAGTCTAGAAAGCTGTGTGGAAAACCTATGCCTTGTGGGCGACTGGGGTCTTTATTATCGTGAAATTTTTATTTTGCTCCCGTTTCAGGTTCTCTTGTGGCAGCCCTTCTTTTATTATGTGGTAGAACATATCCTTCCCTTTGTTGAAAATGAACTATTGTTTCATGTCACTATATTGAACTATGGCCTCAAAGTTTCGTAGCTTTAGGAATGCAGTGTCTCAGTATAACCTAAAATATTTTATAAATAGTAGAATAAATTGAATTTAGCATTCAAACACCACTAATAAAATAGATCAACATTTTACAAGTCAGACTAATTGAGAATCAACCCTGGTTGAAAATAAAGCTGGAACCTGCTATGGTAGAATACTTGGGTAACCTTAACCCTAGATTCTTCACGGTTGGTAGATAAGACAACGTATCACAGGAGTTATTCTGATGAGAGGAGAGAGGGTATAAACTGTTTATTGTTCCTGGTAGTATATAATCATAGTGTCTTACTATGTTAAAATAGCCTGTTCTTAAGTGTTTGTTAAAGGGTGATAAGCACTTGGCTGCTAACTGAAAGGTCAGCAGTTCGAACCCACCCAGAGCTCCGTGGGAGAAAGACCTGATGATCTGCTTCTGTAAAGATTACAGCCTAGGAGACCTATGGGACAGTTCTACTCTGTCACACAGGGTGGCTGTGAGTCAACTTGACGGCACCTAATGACAACAATCTGTTACTTAATGCATCTTGGCCCTTTTTGGCATGGAGAAATCCTTACACCTAGCTGCCTTTCTGGGATTGCACAAAAATTATATTGCAGTGTGAGAAAATGATGCTTTACGGGGTCACTGAGCAATTTGTGTGGAAATTGTTGAATTGCTGTGTAAACTTTCACTGAAAACACAGTGAAGTATTATTATTATTTATTATTAAATAATAATAAAATATTAAGAAAATAATATTTAACGGGTTAAAAGAGACACAGTGATAACCTGTAGAGCCGGAAGTTGACAGGAGTGAGTGCCTTGTTCAGATTGCACAAGTTTTCTGCCTTTGACAGGGTACTGCGGTCTTGTCCCTCTTCTATTGCTTGTTTTAGTGAAAAATACTTCAGTTTTCTTTCTCTGATGGGTTTCTGCCTTAAACAGCTTCCGGCTTTCACAGGTCTTACTGTAATATGGAGGTTGTTCTAGCAGTTGTCCAGAATTCATAGTTCTCTGTCTTTCTTAAAAGCTGCAGAAAGCAGACTCCAAAGTGGTACACTTATCTTTACAGCCGAGGGCAGTCTTAGCTTGACTTTGCGGTTGCTGCCTTGTGTAGCCCAGCACTTAGCATTTGGAATTGCACTGACAGTTTTTGCATGTAATTTATTTTGATTTAGGTTGAGGAAAGGGAAAAGATAACTGCTTTGATAAAGCCTCAAAAAGTGAAAATACCGACCTGAAGATTTGGTTCACTAGAGTCGAGGTTCTTCAGTTTACAGGATCAAAGTCTAGCTATGATGATCTTTTCCATTAAAAACAACAGTGGAAATGCCTTCTTCCCCTTAAAATTCAGACGTGCACAGGCAGTTAACTCTGTTTTTAAGTATTGAAGAAAGTAATTACTTGGGTAGTTGGTCAAGCGCATTAATATTAAATAGTGATTAGTAATATAGGTCAGGTATAGAAACAACTATCTTTGAGCATCTAAGCTAAATTATGGAAAACCAGTGTCTTAGGCTGGGTTCTCTAGAAAAGCAAAACCAGTAAAGCGTATATATATAGCGTGTGTATATATATATATATATAGAGAGAGAGAGAGAGATTGAGATTTATATCAAGGAAATGGCTCACACGGTTGCAGAGGCTGGAACGTCCCAAGTCTGTGGGTCAGGATGGAGGCCTCTCCTGGTTCACGTAGCCCCAGGGGCTGGCGAACTCAAGATCGGCAGGTCAGAGAGTAGGGCTCTTGCTCACAGGCTGCAAAGATTGACAGATCCCAATATCGGCATGCAAGACCACAGTTAAGCTGCTAGCTCAAGTCCCAAGAACTGGAGGCCAGACAAACAGGAGGCAGCTGCAGAATCCAAAACAAGCAAAAGCCCACAAGCCTTGCCGGAATATCCACTTATATTCAATGCAGGCCACACGCCCAAGGAAACTCTCTCTCAACTGATTGGCTACTCACAGCAGATCCCATCATGGAGGTGATCACATAATATCAGATCTCATCATGAAAGTGCTCACAGCATCATACAGCTATTAAACCACGGAGAATCATGGCCCAGCCAAGTTGACACACAGCCTTAACCATCACAAGCAGGAAAGAGTGTGTGTGTGTGTGTGTGTGTGTGTGTGTGTGTGTGTGTGTGTGTGTGTGTGT